TTTTTGCATTCCTTCCAGGTGGAGAGCCCGCGACCCACCCCGTGACCAACTCGCGACCAACCCGCGACCCAAACCACGTTCAGGGTACAAACCACATTTTTCGGCGCCTGCGGCGGGCATCTTTTGCATTCGTTTCAGGTGGAGAGCCCGCGGCCCACCCGCGACCACGTTCAGGGTACAAACCACATTTTCGGCGCCTGCGGCGGGCATCTTTTGCATTCGTTCCCGGTGGAGAACCCGCGGCCCACCCGCGACCCAAACCACGTTCAGTGTACAAACCAATTTTTTTGGCGCCTGCGGCGGGCTGCTTTTGCATTCCTTCCAGGTGGAGGTGGAGAGCCCGCGACCCACCCGCGACCCAAACCACGTTCACTGAACAAACCAATGCCGCACAAGCGCGGCGGCAGATTTTTGCATGCCGTCTGAGCCCGCAAGGACCTCTTCAAGCCCCGCGCATCCACACCAGCCCGTCCAGCAACTTTGCCCTGGCGAGTTGCCTTGATCAGAGAAGTCGGGGAGCATAAAGTGGAAAAAGGATTGTGTTGCAGTTATCTTGGGAAAGGAGGGGGAGGCAGGAGGAGTGAACAGCGGGACGAGGAGGACGCGGAAGAAGAGAGGATGTAAGGATAATGTGGAGAAAGAAAAGGAGGAGGAGCAGGAGGACGAGGAGGGGGAGGAGGGGGATGAGGGGGGGGAGAGGACGAGATGAGGGGTGGCGGGGAGATGATGAAGATGATGATGATGAATGATGATGATGAATGATGATGATGATGATATGATGATGATGAGATGATGATGATGATGGACGACAAAATGGGAGGACGATTGTGGAGGCCGATGAGGGGGAGGACGACAATGGGAGGACGATGATGAAAGGACGAGGGGGGGAGAGGGAGGAAGAGGAAGAAGAGGAGGAGGAGGCCGAGGTGGAGGAGGAGGATGAGGATGAGGACGAGGACGAGGACGAGGAGAGGAGGAGGAGGAGGAGGAGGAGGAGGAGGAGGAGGAAGAGGAGAGCGCCATCGACAAGGAAGGTGGGGGCCACGAGGTCCGCCGGCTCGACGACGCCCGCGTCGCCCGCGCCCGCCCCCTCACTCTTATCCGCAATTGCGGGGTGCTACGTATATATGTATATATATGTACTATATATATATATATATATTATATATATATATATATATAATATATATAGTATCATGTGTTGTTTGTTATGGTGGCCCAGAGCGTTCGAAACAAACCAGAGAAACCTCAGAGTTGGGGGGGCTTTCCGGAGGTTGCCCCTCCCGGACAACTTTTCAAAAAACCTTAGAGTTGGGAGATTTTTCGCGGTTCCCCCTCCACGGGAAATTCCCGAACGATCTTCGAAAAACCGTCGGGTTGGAAGTTTGTTGGGGGGTTGTCCGGCGGTGTCTTCAGAAGTCGTATTGTTTTTTGATTGTGGGGCCGAGAAACTTCTGAAAAACACTTGAGTCGGGGCGTTTCCCAGGAGATTTTCAAAAATAGTTGTGTTTTTAAGTGTGGGCCCCCGGTGGGTTCCCCTCCCGGAAAAGCCGCCGAGAAACCTTGTTGGAACAAATTCACAGAACAAATATCCAAGTTTGAGTTTTTTCTGGGTTTTCCAAGTGTGGGGCCCCAGAACCTCCGAAAACCCACCGCGAAAATCCCGAGTTGGGGGGTTTTGTCGGAGGGGTCTCGCCCCCCAACGCAAAAACACACGTAACACGTCCAGAAAAAAACCCGAACACCCCCCCGAAAAAAGCCCGAAATGGAAGGTTTCCCGTAGGGTTTTCTGAAATACAGTCTTGTTCTTAACTGTGGGACCCCAGGATCCCCGAAAAGCCATAGTAAAAACCCACAGTTGGGAAAGTGTTCGGTGGTTCCCCCCCCCCCGAAAAATAACCTTTTGAAAAACCGACCCCCAAAAAACGCATGTTTGTTGTTTTTTTGTTCGGGGGTTCGCCCCCGAAAAACTTTGAACACCTCCCGGAAAACTTCCGAGTTGGGGGGATTCGCGGGGGGGTCAGCCCGAATTGCGATTTGAAGGGGTTTGCCCGGTCGCTCCCAGGACACGAATGGTTTTTCTTGGGGGGGGGGGGGTTCTGGAACAAATATTGTTTTTGAAGTGTCGGGCCCCGGAAATCTTTTAGTTCCCCCTCCCCCCGCGGATCCGGGAGTAATAACCTCAGAAAAAATCAAACTCGGGTTTTTTTGTCCGATGTTTCCTGGGGGGGCTCCACGGAACTCCCACACCGGTCTCCCTCCTTCTCCTCCCCCTCCCCCTCCTCCTCCTCCTCCTCCTCCTCCTCCTCTCCTCCTCCTCCTCCTCCTCCACCTCCTCCTCCTCCATCTCCTCCTCCTCCTCCTGCTCACTACTTCGTTGTTGATTGCCAGACGCCACAGCATGAGAGGCCGCATTTCAGGGCCATGGATCAGTGCACACTCCTTTGCCATTCCATGGCCATTTGAGGTCTCATTGTTTGCGCTGAGACCTTGCCGGGTGATGGAGGCCGGGCTGGTGGGGCTGCTCCACGACGTGGGGCAGGCGCTGACCACCGCCTTCGTCGTCCGGGCCTCGGTGGCCGATTGCCCGGACTGCCGGTGCAGTCCGGCCTTGCACTGCCCTCCGCTGCAGTGCACGTGCCCCAGCGGCGAGGGCACCCTGGCAGCCGCGGCCATCCCGGGGTGCCACGGAGCTCAGCTGGCCTGGGTGGCGAGCCTCTCGCTCCTGCTGGGCGGCGTGCTCGGTGCCGCGACCGTCTCGTGGGCCGGGCGGCCTCGCTCGAGGGCGCCAGCGGGATCCATCGCGGCGCTAGTGGAGGAGGACTGCTCGCCGGGGGGTGGCGGCCTCGCGTACCTCGCGCTGGAGCAGGCGAAGGTGTTCCGCAGGTCGCCGGTTGCCGCTGCTTATTGAGGATGGCTGCTGGGCCGCTGGCTGGAGGATTCCGTCTGCCCAGGTATGGCGTAGGAGGCCCCTTTCTGTACCATAAGCGACTGGACGTATATCGTTCGGGGTACGAGATGACCCCGGAACACGACGACTACAGCGAGACCACGAATCCAGACGCGGATGTGATGGAGATCGATTTCGTGCACGGGCAGGGCGGCAGAGCTGGGGTCGTCCCGGCAAACCGAGTCTACGGGTTTTGCCGCCTGCTCACGGCGGCCGTGGTCTGGAGCGCCCTCCGCCGCGGGGCCGCGTCGGGGTATGGACCGCTGCCCGACGGGCCTTTCCTCCTCACGCTGTCCGCTTTGAACTGGGCGGGCGCGCCGGCGGGCAGCGTATCGCTGGCGGACCCGTCGATCGTGGTCCCCCCGCTGGTCGGCGTGGCCGGGAGGTGCCCCGCGCCAGCGGCCCCGGGTGAGCTGGCACTCCCTGGGGGGGCCCCGCCAGCCCCACCGGTGGCCGCGGCCACGCCGGCGCCGGCAGCCGCGGTCCCAGCCGCCGTGACGCTCGACCCCGGGGCGGTCGCGGCGCCAGAGGGTCGGGCGCCGGCGGAGCCAGACACCGTGGCGGCCGCGCCGCATCCGAGCGGGGAGGCCGCGCCAGGCTGGCACTGGGTGGCGGCGGAGGACGCCGACGGCTCCGTGTCCTTCGGCGCGGAGGTGGCCGTCGGGGTTCCGGGCGGAGCGACCCTCGTGGGACGCGCTGGGCGCCGCGGGCTTCTCACGCTCGCCGGCGGCGGCGGAGCCAGTGCGGTGCTGCTGCGGGACAGCGAGATCGCGTGGTTCACGCAGGAGTGCCGCGGGAGCGACGCGTGCATTTTCGAGATCCCGCCCGACGCCGGGCAATCTGGCGGCAGTTCTCGGGAGTGGCGCGAGGTGGTGCAGCTGTGCCGCGAGGAGGCCGTCCCGCGGTTTGCCGTGGCTCCGCCTGGGGCGGCGCAGTGGTGCGCCAAGTTCCAGGTGAAGGAGGGGGGCCTGGCCCTCCATCAAGAGATGTGGAAGTCAAAGCAGAGGCTGAACCTGACCGACTTCAGGGTAGACATGCACGAGACCCTGTCCAAGACGATCGAGACTAAGGGCTCGGCCGATCACCTGGACGTCTACAACTTGGCGAGGGCGGTGCTCGGCTACAGGAAGCTCCGCCTCGTCGAGCACTACTGGGACGACATGTGTGCGGAGCAGCAGCAGCAGCACAACATGAAGATGCCCCTGGAGGAGGCCTTCGCATTCCAGGGAGGTTCGAGGTCTCCCTCGGAGGTGTGCCCTGAGTGGCTCGACTTGGTGTCAAATGAGCTGGAGCTGATCCACAGCATCAAGAAGAACGCGAGGAAACTGAGGGAGGAGCAGAAGGCCAGCGAGGGCGGCCGGGACGCTCCTCCCGCTGAGTCATGATGCTGGGTCCGCCCCCGGGACTGCCTCGACCCGGGGGTGATGCAGGAGAGGTGGTGGGCGGAAGTGACGACCACATGCAGCGGTCGCTCCTGCCCTTGCCAGTCCCTGACTGGCGCCGCGCGCAGGCCGCTCCGGGCGGCAGCGGCGGTCGCGCAGCGCGGCGTCGCCGCGCCAACAGGACGCTGCAGGGGGAGCTCGTGACCGAGCTCGTGGTGGCGCTCAACCAGCTGGATGCCGGCTCTGATGACCCGCCTCGCTGTGCGGGCCGGGAGCCCAACAGGATGCAGCAGCTTTGCTTGGAGCATACCGCCGACAGCTGCGCGGCGACGGGCTCCATTCCTCCAGACTTGTCGACCGAGGTGGCCCTTCAGGAGCTCCAGGTCGGCGCTGGCTACTCCGACGGCGAGCCCGTCACGGTGGCCCCCTTCGCGCACGACCTCGTGTCTCTTCCAGCTGTGGGCGGTACGCCTGTGCCCCTGAGCCAGCTGTTGGGAGCCGACGGTCCAGACATAGTGCGAGGTTCATTACTTCGAAGGTTTTGCCAATTCAAAGCGCCGAGATTTTTAAGAAGGAGGCTGGCTTCGCACGCCCTTACCTGGACCCAGTGCTGCGACAACCCGCGGCCTACCTTGCCTTCGTCGAGAGGATGAGGGACGGTGGCATGCTGGAGTTCAGGGTCGATGAGGGCGATTTTGAGGAAGTCGGACTGTTCACCGTTTGGAAGAAGGATGGTCGCCAACGCCTGGTGATCGATTGCCGGGGCAGCAACTTCAGGTTCGCGGAGCCAGACAAGACCAGCCTGGCCTCGGGGGGCAGCTTCAGCTCCATCGAGCTTGGGCCGGGCGAGGTGCTGTGGACGGCAGGGGTCGATATCGCGGACGCCTTCTACAACATGGGCCTGCCGCCGGAGCTCCGGCACCTCTTTGCGCTCCCTCGGCTTCGGGCAGCACAGCTCGGGGTACGTGAGCTGGGCGGGCGCCCAGTTCCGGGCCGCGCTTGGGTGCGCCCGTGCATGGCCGCCCTGCCCATGGGCTGGACGCACGCGCTGGATTTTTGCCAGAAAGTGCATAGAAATATCTTACTCCAGAAGGGAGGTTTCGATAGCGCTCCTGAATTGGTCGACGGTATGCCAGCGCCTCACATCCAGGACGGGGCCTACACTGCCTATGTTGACAATTTCATTTCTTTTGGTGTGGATCCTGATAGGCCCGCGGCCCTCCTGAGGTCGGCCCAAGAGGCCTTGAGCAGCGCGGGACTCCCTCTTCACGATCCTGATATTCCCGCCTCTGTGTCTGAGCAGCTGGGTTGGGTCTTCGATGGTGAGCGCGGAGCTGTGAGGCCCAAGAGCCGTCGTGCGTGGAGGCTTCGTCTTGGGATCCAGGGTTTGCTTGCTCGTGGGCACGCTTCGGGACGACAAGTAGGGGAGATTGCTGGGCACTTCGCTTTCATTGCTATGTCGAGGCGCCCGCTCTTGGCCGTATTTAGTTCTGTGTATGCTTTCTCGAGGAAGTACTTCGATCGTGTGATGAAGCTGCCGCCGTCAGTCCGCCGTGAGCTTCGTTGGGCCGCCTCCCTGATCCCCCTCGCCTGGGCTGATCTCCGGGCTACCTGGTCTCCCAGGGTCTACGCGAGCGACGCTAGCGAGGAGGGGAGGGGCGTGTGCCAGAAGGAGGCCGACCTGGGAGCCATTCGCGGTGCTGGGAGATACGGGGAGAGGTGGCGATTCCGACGAGGAACTGCTTCTAGGCCTCGTGACTGCCTCTTCGAGCAGAGCGACCCGCCGTCCGCCGACATCGCGAAGGTCGAGCCGATCGCCGATTCCGTCGTGTCGCCGAAGGTGGAGCACGTCGTGTCGCCGGAGGAGGCGGTGGAGGATCCTGAGGGTAGCTTGTGGAACGTCCCGGAGGTGGAGGAGAAACTGTACGGGGGCAGGTGGCAGGTCGTATCGAGCGGAGGGTGGGCCCGGTCCGAGAAGATCATCGTCCTTGAAGGTCGGGCACTCGTTCACTCTCTGAGGCACGCACTTCGCGACTCGAAGTCCTTCGGTAAGCGTGTCCTCTTCCTTTGCGATAACATGGGGCTCGTGTGTGCTATGGAGAAGGGCCGCTCCTCAGCCGGGGGAGTCCTCCGCGTCGCCCGGCAATGGGGTGCCTGGTGCCTGGCGGGTGCGGTGCAGGCCTCGGTGCGCTGGATTCCGTCTGAGCGGAACGTCGCCGATGCTCCGTCGCGCCGCCGCATCCCCCTAGGGGTTTGGATCGACAACGGCGCGGCGGACTCTGCCGAGGGCATCGAGCAGTGGGCCGTCCGGGACGCCGGGCGCAGCAGCCAGCAGGCGGATTGCCGCAGCGCCGGCCTCGAGCTCGCCGAGCTGGCCGTCCGCGAGCCTGCCGTCGGCGTGCTTCGGGGCGCCCGCCGGCCCGCACGCCCAGCGGCGAGACGGTCCGCTGGCGGGGCGGCCCCAGCCGCGGAGGGGGCGGCACCTGAGGGCAGCCGCGGCCCAGTCGCGCCCGGTGCTGTGGACGTTGCCCCCGCCCGCGGCCCGGAGCCGCAGGATGGCGCGAGCTGCGGGGCGCGAGCAGGGAGCGGCTGCGGCTGCTCGTCGGGCAGCGCTCGGAGGCCCTGGGTCGCTGCTGCAGCGGGCGTCGGTGGCGCCGAAGACCGTGGGCCAGTACGACGGTCTGTGGCAGGACATCCTCCGCGTGTGGCTGCGGTGGCGTGCAGTGTGCTCCCTGCAGTCGGCGCCAAGCGACGAGGAGACAGACTTCGCGGTCGCGAGCGGGATGGACCAGGAGATCTCGTTCGGGGAGCTGGCGCAGGGGGGCGCAAAGGAGCTCGCGGCGGAGAGCTACTTCCGGACGCAGTTCGCAAGGTCGGGAGGGCTCTCCCTTCCGCGCCCGGCGCAGGCCGTGAAGGGCTGGAAGCGGCTCGCCTCTGGGCGGGCGCGGCCTCCGCTACCCTGGGAGGTCGTCGCGCTGATCGCGCTGAAGATGCTGCTGACCGGCTTCTGGGCGATGGCGGCCTGGACGGACGCCACCATCCACTGCTGCCTCCGCCCCAGCGAGCTGCAGCGGTTTATCGCCGAGATGCTCGTGCCGCCCGTGCCAGGGACCCACGTGGCGAACCGGGCGATCGTGCTGCACCCGAGCGAGGAGGGGATCAGCGGCAGGACAGGGCAGTTCGACGAGAAGGAGAGGCACGCAGGCGGGCAGCTGCAGCGGCGGCCCCTAGGCGTCCGCGCGAGGGCAGTCGAGGCAGCGGCGAGGCTGCCGATCTGCCTCGCGAAGCTTTCGCTCGCGCCTTGGCCTGCCGAGGTGCCCGCCTGGTCCAGCCGCAGGTCTTTCTAGAGTTGTTCAGCGGGCATGGCGGCCTCTCGCGGTCGCTTCGCGAGAGGGGCTTCGTCGTGCTCGAGTGGGACATCTGCCGTGGGCCCGCGTGGGACCTGTCAGCACGGAAGGCCCAGAAGCTCGTGAGGGGCTGGATCCTGGCCGGGCAAGTCTGGGGAGTCTTCATGGGTACGCCTTGCCAGACGTGGACAAGGGCCAGGGACACAGGGCCGCTGCGGGAGCAGGGTCAAGCTGGACCAGTGCTCCCCTCGCGGCTCCGATCCGACCAGCATCTGATGGGGCTTCCTGCGGTCACCCATCCTGTCGATGTGCAGGCCATTCGAGTTGGTAATAATCTCGCCCGTTTCAGTTGCAGTATTTTTGAGTTGATGCACTGGCTCCAGCGCCCAGTGGCGCTGGAGAACCCTGCGCGGTCGCGTCTTTGGCTGCTGCCTCGTCTCAAAAAAGCTGCTGCCTGGAGCACTAGCCAGCTCGTGTATACAGACATGTGCCAATGGGGGACGCCATGGAAGAAGCCAGCCCGAATTTTAGGGGATCGCGTCTCTCTGCAGCCCGTGGCTCGTGAGTGCCACGGCAAGCTTTGCTCTCGCAGCAGAAGAAGGCACACATCAATTCATGGCCTCGCCAAAGGAGGCGGCTTTAAAACGAAAGCCGCTCAGCAGTATCCTCCCGCCTTGTGCGAGGCCCTCGCTCGCTGTTTTGATCACGCTCATGGCAGCTGTAAGACAATAACAATGTCCAGTCTTTTTGTTTAACGGTGAATGGTTCAGTAGTTTATCGAGATGACCAATGTTTGTTTGGCAGGTTTGCGTCATTTTGTACCCTCGTCTCAGTATCGTGCAGCTGGCCGTCTGGCTCGCCTCCGCCCGCTGCCCAATTATCTGTGCCGGTGCACCTTCGCTGAAGCTTGCTCGGGCGTTCAGCGCCCCGATAAAAGGCGTCCTCTGGCCTCGGCAGCGGCGGCGGGAGGCATGCTCACTACTTCGTTGTTGATTGCCAGACGCCACAGCATGAGAGGCCGCATTTCAGGGCCATGGATCAGTGCACACTCCTTTGCCATTCCATGGCCATTTGAGGTCTCATTGTTTGCGCTCCCAACCCTCCCTCCCTCGCGCGTCATTTTGTACCCTCGTCTCAGTATCGTGCAGCTGGCCGTCTGGCTCGCCTCCGCCCGCTGCCCAATTATCTGCGCCGGTGCACCTTCGCTGAAGCTTGCTCGGGCGTTCAGCGCCCCGATAAAAGGCGTCCTCTGGCCTCGGCAGCGGCGGCGGGAGGCATCCTCCTCCTCCTCCTCCTCCTCCTCCTCCTCCTCCTCCTCCTCCTCCTCCTCCTCCTCCTCCTCCTCCTCCTCCTCCCTCCCCCCTCCTCCCTCCTCCCTCCTCCCTCCTCCCTCCCTCCTCCCTCCTACTCATCCCTCCTCATCCAGGGCTCCGCTGGTCGACCGCCCAAAGCGCCGCCCACAACGGAAGAGCCCTTCCGCGCGGCCCCGCCGCCGCGCCGCCATGGCCGGTCCCCCGCGCGCGGCGAGCCGCGCGGGCCTGCGCCGCAGGGGCGCCGCCTGGGCGTTGGGCGCCGCGGCGGCGGCGCTGCTCGCGGGCGCTCCGAGGGGAAAGAGGAACAACCATGATTCATACGTGGCCATATATACGGAATATATAAAATATGCACGTGCATACATGCATGCATGCATATATCTATCCGTGCATGCATGCATACATACATGCAGCAACACACATGTGGGGCGTTCCGAGGAGGGCCTTGCTTACGGAGATTGAAGGGGTTGTCATAGGTCGGCGGAAGTAAAACGAGGCCGCCTCCGCGGGCGGAGACCGGCGGAAGGGCGGCGGACAGTGGCGGAAGTAAAAGATGCGCCCTTAAGAGATGAAATGGATGTTGGGTTCAAGGCTTCCGAATTTCGCCATACATTTATATATATATATATATATATGTATATTTACATATATACATACATACATACATAAGTATATTCGGGGACATCGTATTAAAAAGATGCCCGTATCTCCGCGCGGATCTGTTCTTGTGCGTCCTTGACGTTTTTCCTTGCTGTCGGCCTCCTGGGCCCGTGATCGGGCCCCAGGGCCATCCAGAAGGGATCCGGTGCGCAGAGGCATACCATCAGGGAGGGGGTCGGAAGCTCCTGGGCCGCGGACTGACAAAATCATATCGGAGGATGTCTGGATACGGTACAGGCAGCCCGGATTCGTAGGTCGCCCCTGCCAGATCAAGGGTTCCTTGCCAAGCATTTTTCCTTGACTTCGGCCTCCGGCTCCCGTCATCGGGCCCCGGAGCCACTCAAAATGGACCCGGGACGCACAATGACCCCTAGGAAAGGGGTCGGGAGCTCTGGGGCCGCGGATTGACAAAACCATCGGAGGATGTCTGGATACGGTCGGTTCGCGTCGCGCCGACCGGCGGCGACCCTGCCGCCGGCGTTCGACCCGTGGGCAACCAGAATTGGTCGATGTTGAACGACCTGACGTTTCGGGAACGGCCGATCTCTCCAGGTTGAACGATCCCCGTGGTGTCAGAAACCAGCGCCAGGGTCGTCACGACGCGAAGCTGCCGTAACGATACCGCATCGCTCGGCATTGCCTGGCATCGCTTGACATTGGTTAGCATTGCTTGGCATTGCTTGACATCGCTTGGCATTGCTTGGCATTGCTTGGCGCTGGTTTGACTCGCTTGGCATCGCTTGGCATTGCTTGGCGTTGCCCAGGACCAGGTGGAACCCGAAGAAGGCCGCGTAGCTCCAACGCGTCGAAGAAGAAACAACTGCATAAGAGCAAGTTACTGTAGGCTGTAGTAGTGTATGTAATGTATGTGCATTCGTATTTTATATACACATGTATAAAAGTTTGTATATACGAATGGGTATAGATATGTTCATGTGTATACCTACACGTCTATGTACATACATATGTACATGTGTACGTATATGTATATGGTTATAGTTGTGTGTATGTGTATGTAGATACATATGTACGTATATGTGCGTATGTGTATATGTAAATGTGTCTGAGTATGTACAGGAATGGGAATAGGTATACACCAAGTGTGTTTGCATCTGCATGTGTAGATTTGCACACGTCAATGGGCATGCACATGTATGTGCGCATGTATGCATATGCATCTGTAGATGTACATGCACATGTATATGTCTATGGCTATGTCCATGCATGTGTATATGTACATGCATCGGTGCATGTCTATGTATATGTATGTGTATATGCATAGCCGAACACCACGGAGATTCACCCCACAGGGATAATAAAGTTCGGGGTCGCGAGGGGATTATAAATGCTGCCTACCGGAGGCCAGCATGTGGGAGGAGAAAGAGATGATGTTCGCTTGAGGCTGCCTCCAAAAATTGTTGGTTTCGCTTGAGACATCCTCGACAACGACTTCGCTTCGTTTGATGTTGCTATCTCAACATAAGAAGGAAGTTACCCTCGATGGTGAACTTTTCACAGTGATAAAAAAGTTCGGCCTCCGCGCCCCGCGCCCCTGACCAAAAAAAACTTGGCCGTGGATAACGAACTCTAACCTGGAAAGGGGGGGTCTTTTTTATCATCGGCACAAGGTTATGTATGCTTATGTGGATATGCAGATGTTGTGTATATGTATATGTGGTCGCGTGCATATTTTTATGTATATATGTGTAATGTGCATGTGTAGGTATACGTATATATGCTAGTATATGTTGGTACATATAAACATATATCTATGCATGCTGTCTAGACGGATCGGCACCAGGCCGCCCTTGTCGCGCGCTCCGCGCGCAAGGGAGGAGGGATCCAGCGCCGATCCAAGAAATCCGCGCGGTGCTCCGAACGTTTGTCCAGCTGCTTGGCATCGTTCAAACGTGTGCATGTTTCTCAACGAGGACCATCGAGGACCATTCTCGATCATGTGGCAAAAAAAGCACGCACGAAACTGAAATGTACGAGGAATGGGCGTCTGAGCGATGGCAAGGCTGCCTCTGGCACGTTTCGCCTCCGCGCCAGCCCAGCATGCTCGGCGGCTCTCCTTCGCGGGGACACCGGAGGAGCGCAGTGGATGATCGTTGGGATCTCGTGTGAGGCCTCTCGGGGGCCTCTGGGAGGTAGTTTTGATACCGTTTGGGGGCCTCTTGGGGGCCTCTTGGGCGCCTTTGGGGGCCTCTTGGGGCCCCCCTTTCGGCCCCTTGGGGCGGAAGGCTCGGATTTTCGGTTCGTGTTCCCTCTCTGGGCCCCCTTTTGGGGCCGTTTTGCGGCCCTCTTGTTGGGTGTGGCGGACGCATGTGGGAACCCACACTGGGGCCTTCGGTGGAGCTCCCCATGGGGCTACGCAGCGCTGTTCTGGGCGTGGCGGACGCCTGCGGGCACCTCCTGTGGGGCCTTCGGTGGGGCTCCCCATGGGGCCACGAGGCGCTGTGTTGGGTGTGGCGGACGCATGTGTGCACGCCCGTTTGGGCTTTCGTTGGAGCTCCCCATGGGGCCACGAAGCGCTGTACTGGGTGTGGCGGGCGCATGCGAGCAACCCCACTGGGGCCTCCGGTGGAGCCCACTATGAGGCCACGAAGCGCTGTACTGGGTGTGGCGGACGGCACCCCCGCTGGGGCCTTCGGTGGAGCTCCCTATGGGGCCACGAAACGCTGTACTGGGTGTGGCGGACGCATGCGGGCACCCCCGCTGGTGCCTTCGGTGGAGCTTCCTAGGGGGCCACGAAGCGCCGTACAGGGTGGGAGAAACGCAGGGAGGAGGCAGGAGGGGGAGGAGGAGAGAGGAGAGAGGAGAGGAGGAAGACGGGGACCGTCTTTGCAAAACGAGGACCCAACACCACAGGATTGTTGGGAAACAGAATGGCTCCTGGGCTCCATCTTGAGGCCAGCTAGGAGGCTTCTGGAGAGGGCGGAAGCAGCGGTGTCGGTACCTTTTTTGCCCCCCCGGGCGCCGCCTTCGTGGCCTCGCCGCGCGTTCGCCAAGGAAGGTGCCCGAGAGGCTTCAGACCATCGGCGATCCCTTATTTGATAGGGGCGGCGGTGACAGCCATGGTCATTTCATTCATTCAAGGGTCTCTGCTGGGGGCGGCGGTGACAGCTACGGTCAAGCCTTCATCGGTGCTCCACCGGCTTTCCAGACCTTGGATTATCATTTATCGAAGGGTGTTTCCCTTCACGTGCACAATCAGTGGTATCTGTTCTTATCGATATCGTTTGACGTCCGCAGCTCATTTGTGTCAAAGGAGCGTTGCATGGTAGCGGAGCGTCGGTCTAACCGGCGCTCGCGCGCACCAGCCCGGCCGCGCTCCCGCGCGGCCCGCCCTGCACACTCCAGCCACGGCGTCGAGCGGCGATAGCGGGGCTGCTGGTGGCGTGTGGCTGTGGGTGCCGGACGAGGAGGCTCCGGTCAAGCAGACCGACGGCAGGGTACAGCGCAGGTGGCGCCACGTGGTGGCGAAGGTGCTGAAGCAGAAGTACCTCAAAGGTTTCTGGTCGGTGTTCGGTGAGTACCTCAAGTACGTCAAGAGCAGGCAGCTGCGATGAACGATCAGGAGAGGCAGGCCCTGGCTAGCCTGCAGTCGGCTGTGGAGGCACTGAGGATCCAGAACGCACAGTTGTCACAGCAAGCCGAGCAGATGCAGCAGCAGAATGTTCAGATCAGGACGGAGCTCGCTCGGCAAGTCCAGGCGCAGGGAGATCTACCACGTTTGGCCGAGCAGCTCGGCGATGAGGTGCAGAAGCTGTCTGATGAACGAAAGGATAAGTCGTCTGCGCCGGCCTTTTCCCTTGTAGACACCAAGGGGTTAGGCAAGCCCTCCATCTTCAAGAATGAGGAAGCCAAGTTCCTGGAGTGGTACCGCAAGACCAATGCGTACCTGACGGCAGTCTTCGGAGAGCAGTTCCGCAAGCTGCTGGAGTGGGTGGAGGATCAGGCGCAGGAGACCACGGTGATCAGCATGGAGGTTCTGGAGGCACGGTTCGGCAGCGACGACGATGACGAAGATGAATTCATTCCAGACCTCCGCGAGAAGGTCAGCCAGCTGTACGTCGCACTCCAGACGCTGACAGAAGGTGAGAGCTTTGCCCTAGTGATGAACACTCCCAAGGGCAACGGCGCTGAGGCGATGAGGAAGCTCATCAGGCGCTGGGACCCAGCTTCAGGGGGCAAGCGCCGCGTGCTCTTGAAGCAGATCATGAACCCGCAGCGGTGCACCCTCAGCGACCTGTACGCCAAGCTCGAGGAATGGGAGGAGCTCATCCGCCGGTACGAGAGGAAGAAGGCAGACGGCCTGGGCAAGGTGGTCGACGATGACGTGAAGGTTGCAGCCCTGGAGACTATGGTGCCAGAAGAGCTCGAACTCCACCTCGCGATGAACAAGCATCGGTTGGACACGTCGGAGAAGGTCGTAGAGGAGATCAGGAGCTTCCTGGAGTCGAGACAGTCGCAAGGTGCCCTACTCCGACGGAAGCGAGGTGACCCAATGGACGTTGACTCGCTGTACAAAGGAGGCAAGGGCAAGTCCAAAGGTAAGGGTGACAAGAACGGCAAGAAGGGCCAGGCTCCCAAGCCGCGTGACAAGCGGACGGTGCAGTGCTGGCGTTGCGGGGGCTGGGGCCATACGTCTAATGAGTGCACAGCCCGCCTGACTGGCGGGAAGACCGGCGACGGCAAGGGCAGCAAAGGCAAAGGCAAGGGCAAGGACGCAGACAAGGACAAAGGCAAGGGCAAGAATCGCCGCTGGGACACCAACTCCTTCGAGCCCGGTGCCGCGTCAAGCTCGAGCCAGCCGGTCTACGGAGACAACTGGGACGATGGCAACAACAGCACGATCACCAGCCTACCGCCCTCAGCGAGCCAGGTGGGTTCCACGAACCTTGGCTCCTTCGAGCTGTGCACGTTCGAGCTCAACAGCTTCGACGAGACCGTCGACGACCAGGAGTGGATCAGGTTCGCGTTCGACTCGGGAGCGGCCGTGGCCACCTTCCCTGAGAACGCCAAGGGCGAGCGGCTCCCGGCCGATCCGAATGCGAGCTATCGGACGGCCAGCGGTGAGATCATAGCCGACTCGGGCGGGGTATGCATCCAAGGGCGATCCGAGTGGAGCGAGCCGATCAGACTGAAGGCGCGCTTGGCCAGCATCCACAAGCCGCTGGTCTCGGCCTCGCAGACTCACCGCACGGGCCGGGCCACCTGGCTGACGAAGGAGGGCGGCTACATCCTCCCGGCCGGCTCGGACATCGTGAACCGCGTCGACGCTCTCATCCGTGATGCTGCGTGGAGTGAGTCGGGCGTGGTGCCGCTGTATGTTGAGAAGGGCATCTACGCAGGCTACATCAAGAAGAACGAGGGAGGACACGTCAGGAGAGTCTCGTTCGGCGACCACCGCGAGAGCTGGGACTTGTGCCCGGTCGACGGCGGGTCGCGAGTCCCTCCCCGGCAGGCCTGGCCGTAAGGCCGGGAGGAGGCGGCGCTGTGGCTGGGAGCCCGGGCCCAGCGCCGCTCACCGACTTAGACGTGGGCCAGGAGGAGGAGCAGCAGGCGCCGGAGGTGGCACCCGCTCGAGTCGCGCGCCGTGGCAGGGCGCCGACGCAGGCAGAGCGGGAGCAGCACTTGGCATCTGGACACGCGGTCCACCGCTCGTGGTGCGAGGAGTGCGCGCGGGCAGCCGGCCTGGGCGCCCAGCGCGCCAGGCGACCTGAGGATCGTGATGACGCCGACCCGGTCGTCAGCATGGACTTCGCCTTCATCGGGGAAAAGGTCCAGGACGTGGAGGACGACGGCTCCATCCCCATCTTAGTGGTGACGGACCGCAAGTACGGCATGAAGGGGGCGACCGCCGTCAAGGACAAGACCGCGTCCGACTTCGTGGTCAAGTGGCTCGCGGGCTTCTTGAAGCACCTCGGGCACCGCCGTGTCGTGCTCAAGTCCGACGGCGAGGCGAGCATCTGTGCGATCAAGAATGCAGCGATGGTTGGCGTGGGCCAGCATGTCGAGTGTATCCCGCAGGAGTCGCCCAAGGGCGAGCACAAGAGCAACGGCGAGGTCGAAGCCAGCGTGAAGGAGGTGAAGAAGGTCATCCGAGCGAACTTCTTCTCCATGCAGAAGTCCTTCGGCTTCGAGGTCTCGCCCGGGCATCCCATCGTCAGGTGGCTGCCCCAGTTTGCCGCGGACTCCATCTCCAAGTTCAGGCTCGGCGTTGACGGCATGTCGGCCGAGCAGCGGAGGTGTGGCCGCCCCTGGAGGAAGTTCGCGGCGGAGTTCGGCGAGAGGGTGCACTATCGACCTCTCGGAGTCGGAGACGAGAGGAGCACGCTGGCCCCCAAGATGCTCATGGGGCACTTCGTGGGCTACCACTCGCGGACGGGCGCGCTGCTCGTCATGACGCAGTCTGGTGTGGTGCGGGCCCAGGGCTTCAAGCGCCTACATCGGGCCCAGGCATGGTCGCCGGAGGCACCAGGGTCGTGGGGCAGGCTTGCTGGACTGCCGTGGGAGGTTTCCCCCGCGGTGTTGCTCGCGCAGCCCGTGGGCCCGATCACCGTGACCAGAGACACGCAGGAGGACCACGACACCGTGGTCAGGAGGCGCTACGTACTCAAGAAGGACATCGAACGCTTCGGAGCTACTCCGGGGTGTGCAGGCTGCGCGGACCTCATGGCAAGGGGGTCGGCGCGGGTCGCGCACTCCCAAGAGTGCCGCGATCGCATCGAGGCCGAGCTGATGAAGGACTCGGCAGGCCAGCGGAGACTGGCGGAGCACCACCTGAGAGCGAGTGCTCGCGAGGCTCAGGCGGAGGAGAGCGCGGCGCAGCCGGCGCCCCAGCCTGGAGCAGCCGCAGCCAGCGGCGGAGGAGCCGCCGCGGCCAGCGGCGGAGGAGGCGCCGCGGCAGGGCCCGGCGCGGACGTGGCCACGGCAGGTCCACGTGCGGGCGCCCCGGCGACGCCACCGGCAGCATCGAGGAAGCGTGCTGCGAGCGTGTCCGCCGAGGAGCGCCGCCCGCCGCAGTTGCGAGACGGGCCAAGGGGGCTCAAGAGAGCCGGGAGCGAGCCGGACCTCCACGGGCAGATGATCGTGGACGGAGGCTCGAGCTCGTCGGCTGGACCGGCGAGCGCGGCAGTGTCCGCTGGGCTGGTGCAGCCCGTGCCTAGCCCAGAGGGGGCTAGAGGAGGTGGCGACATGGAGGACTTGGCAGGGCCAGCTGCACGGGCTGGCAGCTCCATGGACGTCGGCGCCTTTGACGAGGTCAAGGGCAAGATCTACAGGGAGATCCTGGCGCTGGTGAGCGCCACGGACCTGATCGGCGACAACGTCATGTCGATCAAGGAGCTGAAGGAGGTGTCCGCGCTGTTGACCGAGATCAACGGGGTCGACCTCGCAGAGGTCTACTCGCCCGAGCGCTTCAAGGGGAAGGCGCTCGGCATGGGCCTGACAGCAGGCCTCGCGGCGGACCTCTACACCGGCTGGGACTTGCTTCGCGAGGACCACCGCCGAGCAGTCATGAAGAAGCTGCTGGAGGAGGACCCTCTCCTCACCGTGACCTCTCCGCCGTGCACGGTCTTCTCCAAGCTCAGGCAGCTCGGCAACTTCAAGCGGGGCGAGGGCATCGTGGCTTCCGAGGTCCTCGAGGGCGAGACACACCTGGAGTTCTCCATGAAGGTGTGCGAGAGCAGGCATCAGCGAGGAGCACTTTTCCTGCATGAACACCCCTGGGGAGCATCCTCCTGGTCGCGGCCGTGCGTCGAGAGGGTCAAGGAGTTGCCGGGCGTGCACTTTGTGCGTGGCCCGATGTGCCGCTGGGGCCTCCACGCTCGGGGGCCCGATGGGCGCGAGGCATTCGTGCGCAAGGAGACGGGCTGGCTGACGAACTCGCAGGTCTTGGCCGACATCCTTGCTGGGGAGTGCCGCTGCCAGTCCATCGGCGGCGAACCCTACCGGCACGTGCACTTGCTCGGTGACAGGAGGGCTCGAAAGGCGCAGGTGTACCCACCCCGCCTGGTCAGAGCCATCCTTCGCGGCCTCAGGGAGGAACTTCGAGCTCGAGAATCGCTGTCTGACCTGGCGGCCTTCACCGCCGGGCCCTCGCCTCACGCCGAGGATATGGACCAGGAGGCGGAGGCGTTCGTGGACGACGTCCGCGGGGGCTTCCTCGACCCGCTGAAGGTGAAGGAGGCCAGGGCTGAGGAGCTGGAGTGGTGCCGTAGCCGCGGAGTGTGGAAGAAGGTTCCACGCCGCGAGATGGAGGCGGAAGGAGGTCGTGCCATCGACACGCGGTGGATTGACACCAACAAGGGGGACCTCGAGCGACCGCTGTACCGCTCGAGGCTCGTGGCACGGGAGATGAAGGTCCGCCGGCGCGCCGAGGGGCTGCTGCCGCCGCAGCAGGACCTCTTCTCGGGGACGCCACCGCTGGAGGCGTTCAAGGCGCTGGTCAGCATGTTCCTCAGCAGGGCGTTCGAGCAGTTTCAGAGCTCGGAGCCCCGCGAGGTGCTGTACAAGTTCTACGACGTGTCGCGTGCCCACTTCTACGGGCACGTGCAGAGGCGCCTCTGGGTGGAGCTTCCGCCCGAGGAGCGTCAGGGAGAGGAGGAGCCACTCGTCGGACTTCTCCTTCGCACGATGTACGGCACGATGGATGCGAGCCAGGTCTGGCAGGGTGACTACGTCGAGCTGCTCAAGTCCGTCGAGTTCCTGCAGGGGAAGTCGAGCCCCGCCATCCTGTGGCACCCAGGGCGTGACATCGCCCTCGAGGTGCATGGCGACGACTTCGGCGTGCTGACGTATGCAGACGACGAGGCCTGGTTCGACGAGTTGCTGAAGAAGTATGACTACAAGGTCACGGGCCGCCTCTCCTCGGCGGCCGAAGGGGTCCAGGGCGCGGTCTACCTGAACCGCGTGCTCATCTGGGATCCCGCCGCAGGTGAAGCACGCATCGAGTCTGACGTCCGTCACGTTGACATGATCCTTCGAGACCTGCACCTGTGCGACGCCAAGCCGGTGCAGACGCCTGCGGTCAAGAAGAGTGTGACCGAGATGATAGAAGCCTCGCAGTCCCAGACGCTCGATGACGCACAGTCCAAGCTCTACCGCTCGCTGGTCATGCGGGCGAGCTACATCGGGCAGGACAGGCCGGACCTCAGCTACATCGCGTCTTCTCTGGCCAAGTCGATGAAGACGCCACGCGAGTCGGACATGATGGACCTGAAGCGCCTGGGACGATACCTCAAGCAGGCCAGGGCCGGCTCGCTGGTGTTCAAGCTGCAGGAGGTCCCCACGCGCATCGAGATCTTCGTAGATGCTGACTGGGCTGGCGAGGCTACCACCAGGAAATCACGCAGTGGCATGATGCTCATGCTCGGCTCCCATCTTGTGAAGCACGCTTCCACCCAGCAGACCACGGTCGCGCTGTCTTCGGGGGAGTCCGAGTACTATGCGATGCTGAAGGGTGCGAGCCACGCTCTGGGGCTCCAGTCGATGCTCCAAGACTTCGGCGTGCAGTATCTAGAGATGCCACTACTGCGCAGCGACAGCGTGGCGGCCGAGGGCATCGCCACGCGGCAGGGCCTTGGCGCTGTCCGCCACATCGACACGAGATTCTTGTGGCTGCAGGACCAGGTCAAGGCAGGCAAAGTGGAGATCAAGCATGTGCCGGGGCTCCAGAACCCGGCCGATGCGTTCACAAAGGCTCTGGACCAGACACATCTGAGACGGCATTTTGAGGCTATGGGCTTTAAGGTGCGCGACGAGGGCAGCCGGCTCCATCGCACTCTCTAGGGTGTGCGTGTGGCGCCGGGCAGATGCATGAGTTTTCTTTTCTTTCCTTTTCTTTTCCACGGACCTAGAGGTCCCGCACTGATGCGGGAGGTGCGGACGATGTGCATTGAGAGTGGTCGGCCGTGCACGGACCTGGCGGGCGAGAGGCCTGCAGGCACGCGCGGCCTTGACGCCGCGGGAGTGGGGCTTTGGCCCGCTGTCCGCTGCGTCCGAGAGGGGGTGTTTCCCTTCACGTGCACAATCAGTGGTATCTGTTCTTATCGATATCGTTTGACGTCCGCAGCTCATTTGTGTCAAAGGAGCGTTGCAAAGGGTTCTTTATTTACTGTCCTCACCACAGCACTGGAATGTAGCAACACTCACGCGCAGCAATGATTTTCTGTCAGCTCGGGCAGCACTCTGGGTCACGCTGCCTGTACCCTTGTTCCCTTAGCGGGTTCGAGCCTCGCGCCGACGGATGACTGCATGTGCAAATCGGGCCCTGGTGCCGAGACAGATACAACAAATACAAGGGTTCCTTATTCATTGAAGGAGGGGGAGGAATGAGTGGGAGGGAGGATTGAGGAGGGAGGAGGGAGGAGGGAGGATGAGGAGGAGGAGGCCTAGGCGGAGGAGGCGGAGGAGGGAGGAGGAGGAGACAAGGAGGAGGAGGAGGAGGAGGAGAGGAGGAGGGGGGGGGGAGGAGGAGGAGGGGGAGGAGGAGGAGGAGGAGGAGGAGGAGGAGGAGAAGAAGGAGGAGGAGGAGGAGGAGGAGGAGGAAGAGGAGGAGCGGGAGGAGCAGGAGCACGAAGGAGGAGCAGGAACACGAAGGAGGAGGAGGAGGAGGAGGAGGAGGAGGAGGAGGAGGACGAGGACGAGGCTGCGAAGGGTCCCTTATCCCCCCGCTCTCACCGCAGCCGTGTCGGCGCCTTCCTGCCTCCCTAGGCGCCGCCTTCGTGGCCCCGCCGCGGCGCGCCGGCGCCCCGCCCGCAGGCGGCACGCGGGGCGGCACACGAGGCCTCCGCCGGGCTGCGCCCTCGGGACGTGCGCCTCGCCGCGGAGCCCTCACGGCTGGAGCGCGTTTCCTGTCTTGCCTGGGGCGCAGTGGGCATTATGGCCCCCGGCCCCCCCTCCCTGAAGCCGTGGCGAAGCGTCCTGGCGTGCCGAGAGTCCTACCAAACAATGTTCCAAGAACCTTTTGCGGTTTCCACGGAATGTTCTTAGAACACTTCTGGCTGAGACCGTCTTGCTTTAACGCATCAGGCTTATGTTCTAAGAACATGGTCTGTGTTCTTAGAACACTTTGGGGTTCTAAGAACACTTCGTGGTAGGACTATAGGAATGCCTGAAAGGTCGGTCCCTGCTCAAATTATAGCCCCCGGCCCCCCCTTCCCCACCCCCACCTTTAACGTAACGCCCCTCCCCCCCAGTGCGCTCCGGGCATTGCCGCCGTGCGCACGGCGGGGGGGAGGCGTTACATTATACCCTCCCCCCTGGCCCCCTCCCCCCCCCTATGATGCCCAGTATCGCCGAAAATAAAGAAACGCGCTCCTGTTCGGCCTTCAGGTCCGGAGAACTATGCACCGTACCGCGTTGGCGCCCGTCGGAGCGGGTCCTGAAGTCTAGGCCTCCTAGATGGGGTCGGAGCAGATGGGCTTGGAGGATCGCGCCACAGCGCCGATGCATCGCCGATGCGGCTCGCTGTGGAGCCCGATTTGCTGCACGTCGACGGCGCCGATGCATCGCCCACGTCGACGATGGATCGCCGGTGCATCGCCGATGCATCGGCGATGCATCGGCAAAGTGGCGCGATCCTCCGACCCCATCTAGGAGGCCTCTATGAAGGGAGTCCGAATATGGTATGGTAGGTTCGTGCGGCGTTGACGCGCTGGCGACGCCGACGAAGGCGTTCAAGGTTGAATTCTGCGACGCGGAAGCACCGAGGGACACGGTACAGTAACGCCACTGGGCCCGATTGAATTCAACCCTGAGCGATCGGGGACGTGATCGGCTCGAGGTTGAACGATCGACGCGGTGTCAAAAATCTTTGCGCGCGCCGACGCCGCACGAACCTTCGCGAGAGGGCGTCGCGGCCGTCATTTTTGCGGGTCCAGGTCCGTCGGTTTCGGTCCCAGGCCGTTTTCACTAAGGGGAGGTTTACTAAAGGGAGGTTTGTCCACCGCCGATTCAGCGTCTTGACCGCAGTTCCAGTCGTTTCATTGCGAAGGCCACTCGGCTGATGCCGCCGGCCCTGAAGGGGGACGGCAACGTTGGCAACGACGAGAGCCAGTCAAACATTTCAGGGAAGACGCTGGTTTTACAAGCTTTACCCTCTTGGGGTCTTGGGAGTGCTCTTGGCGCACTCTTGGGCCTCTTGGGAGCCTCTTGGGGGCTTCTCGGCGCCTTATGTTTGAAGACAGTTGTGGGGGGATGTCCGCAAAGCTGCGGAATGTTACACAAAGTCGGATTCAACTCCTGGGAGGTTTAACTCCAAATCGGCGCTGGCATATCCCTGGCCGAAAGATGTCACAATCTGGCTCAATCCCGTTCAATTCGACGTAGGCTAAATCCCGTTGAATCCGGCTTAATCCCGGGCTTAATGGTCTGCCCCGGCTCAATGATCTCCTTTCGGAGCTAGTAGTCCGTAATCGTTATGACGAAGACCTCCCAGGAGTTGGCTCCCAACACGAAGCTGTAGAATTGTCCACAGGATTGTGGAACGTCGCGCAAACGCGAACGTTGCCGCTTGCAGCGGAAATTGGCGCCCTACCTCTTCACATCCGACGGGACGCATGACACAATTTGAAGTCGGAAGTTCAACCACAGTGCGGCGGAAGGTGGAGAAGGACAGAGGACGGAGGAGGAGCAGGAGGAGGAGGAGCAGGAGGGAGGAGGAAGAGGAGGGAGGAGGGCGGAGGATTGCCCGAGGGGCCTGGAGAGGGCGGATAGGCCGTCCGAAGACCTCGATCATCGACACTTCGGCTGGCGACCCGCCTCCTCGAAGACCTCGGTGCTTGAATGTCGAGCTTCGCTCCTCAACGATACGGTCAGGAACGTTTACTCAGCGTTCGGGGAGCAACACATTGCATACGGTGGGGGCGTTGATTAAGAAATGTGCCCAGGAGGCTTCAGACCCTGAGGGCTTACTTATCTCATGAGGGCGGCGGTGATATCCATGGCCAATCCACGGTCGACGTTCCACTGGCTTCGAGACCCTGGATTCCTTCTCCATTGGTTCTTTATCCGATGCCCTCGCCGAACAAAACTGTCGGAGGTCCGCACGGATTTCTCGGGTCGGCGCCACAGCCCCTTTGCGGCGCCGCCCCTGGCGCGCTCTGCGCGCCATGGAGGGGATCCAGCGCCTGTCCGAGAAGTCCGCGCGTGCCTCCGAGAGTTTATGGTTACAGTGGAGCCCCATGCTCCTCCTCCTCCTCCGCCTCCGCCTCCTCCTCCTCCTTCTTTTCCTCCTCCTCCTCCTCCTCCACAATTACTCAACATGAATACTACTCTCCCTCTTCCCCCGATGGCGGCCTGAAAGTATTAGACCCCCCCCGCGTACTGTTTTTTACACACAGGATTCCCGGGAGTTGGGTTTTCGCCTGCGTTTTTTTCTTTAATGCTGCTCTCGCTGAGGCGCCGGCCTCATTTCTGCTCCCGAATCGTTCCGAATCGTGCTCCCGCTGCAGGGTGGGCCTCATTTTCGGATCGGTGTTTGGCCTCCGTCGTTCAGGATGGCGTTCTCGCCCCAACGCGGGCCTTTTTCTCGCGCGCCAATCCGCCCGCCACCACCGCGCCGCACCACCACCACCACCCCACCACCACCACCACCACCACCACCACCACCACCACCAGCACCACCACCAGCACCACCAGCACCACCACCACCACCACCACCACCACCACAACCACGCACACACGCACGCACGCACGCACGCGCACCACCACCCACTACGCACGCGCCCGCGGAGCCACAGGTCCGCTACGACACGCGTCCGCGGATAGAGAAAATCAGCGCCATGGTAAGGGATGGGAGGGAGGGGTAGGACGTCAGATATGACGCGAGCGCACCTAGTTTGTCCTCCCCCCCTCTCTCCCTCCTCCTCCCCCTTCATCCCCGTCCCCGCCCCCTTCCCCCCCCACTACTTCTCCTCAACTTCCCCTTCCCTGACTTCGGATCCAGGGTGCCCTGGGTTTCTTGGGTCTCGATCAAATTTGCGGTGGAAGCGTAACGTTCCCACGCCAGAAATCAGTGGACGTTCTGGGGTCTCAGGGTTGGTTGTCTCGTGGGAGTTTTCTTGTGGTGGAGCTCCTGCTGTATGCCATCAGCACGTCTTGGTCCCCAGACAGCAGCGCCTTCCCCAGCCTCCCGCCCCACGACGCGGAACGGCGCGCCAACTCGGGGCACGGCGTGTCGCAGGGGCCGCCGCCGCGACACTCTTGAGCAACAGTTCGCCTCCGCCCAGGCATATGACGTCTTTCTGTTTCTCACAGCGTGGACCCCCCCCAAGTTCTGACCAGGGACGATGCAAGAGGAGGAGGAGGGGGAGGAGGAGGAGGAGGAGGAGAAGGAGGAGAGAAGGATGTGAGGAGGAGGAGGAGGAGGAGAAGGAGGAGGAGGAGGAGGAGGAGGCGGAGGAGGAGGAGGAGGGGAGGAGGAGGAGGCCTTCCTTCCCCGTGAGCGGCTCTCTCCTCCCGAGCCGTCACGGTCCCAGGGCCATGTCGAGGGCCCGCGGAGGTCAAGAACGGACCAGAACCATCCTCCGCGTTTTTTCGCGCTCCAAAAAGCGCGATGGCCCAGACCTCCGACGTCTCGATTTTTCGATGCGGGGCCCCCAGGGCTCTGGAGGCACCACCTCCGGGGGGGCCAGTGGTTCGTCCCAGGGTGCCTCCTGAGGGTGCCAGGGCCCGTCGAGGGGCCCCAGACGCCGAAAACGACGCAATACTTCCTCCTCCTCCTCCTCCTCCTTTTCCTCTTCCTGCTCCTCCTCCTCCTCCTCCTCCTCCTCCTCTCCTCCTCCTCCTCCTTCCTCCTCCTCCCTCCTCCTCCTCCTCCTCCTCCTTTTCCTTTTCTTCATCCGCCTCCTCTCCTCCTCCTCCTCCTCCTCCTCCTCCTCCTCCTTTTCCTCCTCCTTCTACTCCTCCTCCTCCTCCTCCTCCTCCTCCTCTCCTCCTCCTCCTCCTCCTCCTCCTCCTCCTCTCCTCCTCCTCCTCCTCCTCTCCTCCTCCTCCTCCTCCTCCTCCTCCTCCTCCTCCTCCTCCCCCCTCCCTCTTCCTCCCCCTTCTCCGTCCACGCCCCTTTCCCCCCCCCCACTCCTCCTCCTCAACTACCCCTTCCCTGACTTTGGATCCACCGTATCTGGGGCGATTCCGCGAGTGGGGCGGAGATTTCCGCCCTAGTTGTCAGTCTCTTTTGATGGCGACGGCCGCCTTGCTTTGCCGTCGCTGTTTCCGCCATGCGTTTGCAGAAACATCGGCCCTACTTTTCTGAGGCGGTCACTTCCGCCCTGCCCTTGTCGCATCGTTCGGGGTGCACGTCCGACAATCTGAATTCTGATAATCAGCCAAAGTAGGGCGGATACGAGGTCAGGGTAGGGACCTCGATCCTTGAAGTTGGATCCTCGTTCCTCCACGCCGTGCCCCCCTGAGATCCGACGTTGCGAAAATACCGCAGCATCGAACAAAATCACAACTGGAGCCCTAGGCCGCATCTTGCCGCGGCAATGCTCGAGCTGGATCGATCTGTGACCGTCCCGGGTCCCGACACCCGACAGAAACGCCGATTGTGAAAAAAGGCAACGCCGAGATCTTAGGAACCTTTCCTCCTCCCCCTCGTCGCCGTCGCCGTCGTCGTCGTCGCCTTCGCCGTCGCCCTCGTAGGTCGTCGCCGTCGCCTTCTTCGTCGTCGACGTCGCCTTCGTCGGTCGTCGCCGTAGCCTGCGTCGTCGTCGTCGCCTTCGTCGTCGTCGTCGCCTTCGTCGTCGTCGCCTTCTGCGTCGGCCGCCGCCGTCATCGCCGCATTCGTCGGTCGCCTCCCCGCCCTCGCCGCTGAGCTCCACTGCGCTGGCAGAGGGCGTCCCTCAACCTCCTCCTCCTCCTCCACCTCCTCCTTTACCTCCTCCTCCTCCTCCTCCTCCTTCTCCTCTACCTCCTCCTCCACCTCCCCCTCTACCTCCGCCTCCTCCTCCTCCTCCTCCTCCTCTACCTCCTTCTCCTTCTCCTCCTCCGCCTCCTCCTTCACCTCCTCCTCTACCTCCTCCTCCTCCTCCTCCTCCTCCTCCTCCTCCTCCTCCTCCTCCTCCAAGACCCCCTGAGAGGCTCGGGCCCCGAGGGCGCCGGAGCCGGCAGGGGCACGGCCCCGCTGCTGCTGGGCGCCGCGGCCGTGGCGGCGTGCGCGGCGGCGCGCGCTGCGAGGCCCCAGGGGGGGGGGGGAGGCGTCCTGGGGAGGCGCCGCTGCGGGGTTGCATTGGGCTGCGCGTGAGGAGGTCGTCGCCGTCGTCGTCGTCATCGTCGTCGTCGTCGTCGTCGTCGTCGCTGGAGCAGCGAGCACATGGAGTCGTCATCGCTGGAGGAGGAGGAGGAGAAGGAGGAAGTCGTCGTCGTCGAAGGAGGAGGAGAAGATGAAGGAGGAGATGGAAGAGGAGGAGAAGGAGCAGGAGGAGGAGGCGGAGGTGGAGGAGATGGAGGAGGATGGAGAGGAGGATGGTGAGGAGAATGGGGAGGAGGAGTGCGACGGGGATGGGGGTGAGGAGGATGGGGGTAAGGAGGCAGAGGAGGGCATCCTGGAGACCAGGAGGGATTTCTAGCCCCTCTGCCCAGACCCCACTTGGTCTTGAGGACAGGTAGCTGGACATCGAGGCGGGGCGGGCTTCTCTTTCGCCCAGGCGAGGTTTTGGATCGTCCCGAGTTGTGCAGTGTTTGACTGCTTAAGACGTGGAGGATAACGAGGAGGGCGAGGAGGGATGGCGAGGAGAAAAGGGAGAGGGAGGAGGAGGAGGAAGGGGAGGAGCACCTTCTCCTGGAGCGGAGCGGCCTCTGTGGTGATGATGGTGACGACGGTGATGGCGATCATGATATTGATGATGATGATGATGATGATGCTGATGATGCTGCTGCTGATGATGATGATGATAATGACGACGACGACGACGCCGCCGACGACGGCGACGACGGGGATGGTGACGATGATGTTGTTGTTGATGGTGATGGTGATGGTGGTAATGATGATGATGATGGTGATGATGATGCTTCTGGTGATGCTGATGACAATGCTGATGGTGACACTGAGGATGAGGATGCTGATGATGGTGATGGTGATAGTAATGATGGTGGCGATTGTTGTGACGATGAGAATGATGATGACGATGATGGTGATGATGACGATGCTGACGACGGCGATGCTGATGACCACGATCGTAACAATGATGCATATGGTGCTGATGATGGTGGTGGTGGTGACGGTGATGATGATGATGATGATGATGATGATGATGATGATGATGATGATGATGCTAATTATGCTGATGGTGACGAAGCTGATGCTGCTCATGATGGTGATAGTGATCATGATGATTATGGTTCTGGTGATGAAGACGATGACGATGACGCTGACAACGACGTCGACGTTGACGATGACACTGATGATGCTGATGATGATGATGGTGGTGGTGGTCGTGATGCTGATGATGCTGATGGTGAAGATATGATGATCATGATGTTGACGACGACGATGATGATGCTGATGATGATGACGATGTCGATGACGATACAAATATCGGTGATCATGATGTTGATGATGATGGAGATGATGATGATGATGATGATGATGATGATGATGATGATGATGATGATGATGATGTTGTTGATGATGTTGATGATGATGATGATGATGACGCTGGTAACGACGTTGGCGATGCCGATGGCAATGATGATGATGATGATGATGATGACGATTATGCTGATGATGATGATGATGATGCTGCTGATGATGATGACCACGACGATGATAATGATGGCTACGCGAAAGGGTGACCCTTCGACGGAGGTACTTTTGATGATGATCGTGGCGGACATAGCAGGTAGCCGACGAAACCTCGATCCTTGATTTCATCCGGACCGATGTGGGCGCCCTCGAACTTCTGATATTTGTTGCTGCCCGCACCTGCTCTCCGCGCGCGGTCGTCGTCTCCGCCGACGTCGTTGCCGCCGTCACCGCCGTCGTCGCAGCCGTCACCGTCGTCGCCGCCGACGTCGTCGCCATCGTGGTCGTCGTCGCCGTCGCCGTCTTCCTCTCCGTCGTCGCCGTCGTCTCGGCCGTCGTCGCCGTGGTCGTTGCCGTCGCCGTGGTCGTCGCCGTCGTCCCCTTTGTCGGCGCCGTCGCCGTGGTCGTCGTCGGCGTCGAAGAGGCCAGTCCTGCGCGCCCGCGGCGGGGCGAGCAGCGAGGAGCCGGAAGGCTCGCTCTTCGACGTGATCTTCGACACGGACAAGTACATCGAGGCCGACCGGTTGTCGTCCCGCCCCGTCTTCGACTACAACAGGTGGTCGCCATGAAGCAAGCCCAGACCCCCTCGCTGACAGAAATCACGACGGGAAGTTTTTGGCCGTCTTCGGCCTCCGGGGGCCCCTACTGGGCCTCGGGAGCGTCAACAAATTATTCAGGATGAAAAACCGGTCCCAGGGAAGAGGTTCAGACCTCGGGGGTCAACGTTGCGAAAACGACGTCGTTGGTCTGGGAAGGGGCCTTTGATTTTTGCTCGTGCATCGTTTTCTGGCTGCCAGGGCTCCTCCCTGGCCCGTGGACCGTCAGAGCACGACTCGGGATGGAGAGCCAGGCCCGGGAGAGAGCCCGCGGTGTCCAGGACCCTTTCCTCGGGGCCCGATGTCTCGTCTGTGCCGAAGAGGTGGAAGCGCCACCGCGGCGCCGAGCGCTTCACGAGGAACCTGGGCAACATCTTCTCCTCCAGCACGCTCCGGGCCAATTGGCAGGAGGTCCTCGCCTGCACGCTCGTCGCCATCTTCATTTGCACGTGGAACGACCTAGACGTCGCCTCTCTCGGGGCCTCGAAGGAGCAGGTGGCCCTCTGGGCCTCGAAGCCGCAGCTGGGACTGCCGGCGCTGCCCTTCACCATCAGCTCCGCGTTCCTGTCGCTGCTGCTGGTCTTCAGGACGAACTCGGCGTACGGCCGCTGGTGGGAGGCGCGCTGCATATGGGGCGCCATCATCAACACCTGCCGCGACATCGTGCGCCAGGCGCTGATTCGATTCGACCCTAAGGACGCGGAGCTGAAGAAGGAGGTGACCCGCCTGGTGTCCGCGTACCCCCGCTGCCTGATCTACCACCTGGGGGAGCGCACGGACGTCTCCAACCTGGTGATCGAGAAGAAGCTTGGAAAGATTCTGAGCGACGCCGAGAAACAGAAGCTGCTGGCCTGCACCCACAAGCCGATGACACTCACCACGATGCTCTCCCAGTCGATCAGGAAGGCGGGCCTGCCGGTCACCGAGGAAAGAAGAAATTGCATACGTAGCACCCTGTAGTTGCGAAGAAGAGTGAGGGGGCAGCAGGGACGTTGGCAGTCTGCTAGGCTCTGGAGAAGCCAGCCGCAGGTGCAAATATACAACGAGCCCGCTGCAGGCGCCGATTTTTTGTTCAACCAATGTGAGTGGGTCCAGGTGAGGTCGCGGATGGGTCGCGGGTGGGTCGCGGGCCGGGTCGCGGCCGGGTCGCGGGAGCTTTTTTGGGGGGGGGGTATAGATTCAGACAAGTTTACTTGCATGGCAGTTTGTCCCCCCCCCCCCCCCGCTTCTGATTCACGCAGTACTGGGCCGAAAAAAGCGTGCAAGTGCTGTTCGACTTGCGTGATTTCCGCGCCCCCCCCCTCCCCGCGTGCAAGTGCAAGGCGCCATTGGGGCATGAATTTGGTTCAAGATGGGTCTTCTGTCAAGTGCAGCTGTCTGCTGTCAGAAATTCAGCTGAACCCAGCGCCTCGCCTCGCAACTCGGTCCGAAATCATAGAATGTTGGGGTCCGAGACAAGCAAACCGTTTGAGACATCCCAAGCACCTGGGCGCGATCGTGTGCGTGCAATCCTTCCTGGCGACCCCCCCCTGGAGAGGCTGTGAAATCCTTGCGAACTGTTCCGATTATACCAGATTCGGGGGTCCAGGCAAGAAGACCGCCTGAGGCATTCTCATTCGGAAAGGTAGCCACATGGCACGCCCATCGCTTCAGGTATCGTCAATTCCCCACAAAACGCCCTTGAACTTGCGAGGCGCGGAGCCCCCCCCCAAACGTGCAAGTCGCTTGCTTCGGGCTCCCCCCCCCCGTGCATGCAAGCAATCTTGCTGGATTTTTTTCCAAAACAAAAAGACAGGCTCCGGCGGGGTCGCGGCCGGGTCGCGGGGTGGGTCGTGGGTGGGTCGCGGGGTGGGTCGCGGGTTGGTCGTGGCAGAGTCGCGGTCAGGTCGCGAGTGGGTCGCGGTTGGGTCGCGGGCCGGGTCACGGGGGGAACGACGACAACAAACAACCACAGACAACAAGCAACAATAGCAACAACAATTCGCACCGCAGAACCTCCCTTCAGCCACGCGCCCAGGGACAGTGCATGACCGTTCGGCCCCTTCACTCTGACAAGTGAGCGTTCGGAGCTTCGTGCGGATTTCTTGGATCGGCGCTGGGCCGCATGGCGGCGCCTCTGGCGCCGCCCCCCTGGGCACATTCCAGCACTCCGCGCGGACCCTCGAGAGTTTGTGTGTATGTCTGCCGTTTTCCGTCCCTCCAGGTCATCGATGAAATGAAGATCGACGCGGACATCACCAAGTTCTCCGACTACTACGGTATGTGCGAGCGCATCTTCAAGACGCCCATGCCGCTCTCGTACACGCGGCTCACCTCGAGGTTCCTTAGCATCTGGATGCTCTTCATGCCCTTCGCCCTCTACTCGGCGATCACCCCCCACTGGCACCCTAACAAACACATGCTGCACAAACATACACTTTCGGAGCTCTGCGCGGTGTTTCTGGGGATCTGCGCTGGAACCCCTGACGGCGCTTCTGGGCCGCCCCCGGAGTGCGTCAGGGAGGGGGCCCAGCGCCAGTCTAAGAGATCCGCATGGAGCTCCGACAGTCTATGCTTATGCAGGTCTTCTCCTCCACGGCTAGAAGGGTTGGCTTAGGAGTGTACGTCAGGACTTTGGAGTGCGTTCCATACGTCAGGGTGTGCTGAATGCGCGTCGGGATGAGGTGCACTCGACACGCCGCTTTCCAGTGTGCAACTGGGGATCGGGAGGGAGAGAGGCGTATAGCGCGCACGGGCGGCGAGTGGGAAGGGGGAGAGCGCACGCCAAACCAAAAGTCCTCACCGTTTTTAGGTACATCGTCCCGATCACAGCGTTCCTGTCTTTCGCCATCTTCGGCATCGAGGAGCTCGGCGTCGCGATCGAGGAGCCGTTCTCGGTGCTCCCCCTGAACGCCATGGCGGACGGCATCGACGCCAGTATCTTCGAGGCGTTGGCCCTGGACGAGAAGGAGCGGGCGAATGCGAAGCAGCGGGAGCTCGTGGGCGCTTGAGTTGCTCGTTTTCCGTCTTGGACTCCTCTCGCTCTGTCGCTCTCTTTCCTTCTCTCTCTCACTCTCTCTTGCTTTCTCTCCTTCTCCTTCTCTGTCCCTCCCTCCCTCCCCCCCTCCCTCATCCTCCCTCCTCCCACAACCCCTTCCCCCCCTCTATCCTTCTCTACTCGAACGGTCGGTCTCCATACTGCCTGTCTGTCTTAATGTTCCCCCATATGCTTGCCCAGCTTTCCTTTTGCGGGCCCGATGCCGCCTGGCTCAAGTGTGGCCAGGCATCGTGCCCGTATGAGACGCGTATCAGACACCCCCCAGTATTCACCCGCGCCATGCAGCAGACGTTACTTCAATCGCATCCGTTTTCATAGTTTGTCGCGGAGCACAGGTCTGATCTACCCGTCTCGCCGCCATGGTCCGTGCGGCACATACGCCCGTCTTTTGTCCGCCTTCGTCTACCCTATCATATCCATCGTGTTCGGCAAGGGTTATCTAGGTCTTCTTGTTTTCCGGGCTCATGGTCTTCGTGTCCGCTAAGTCGGACAGCGAAGACACGTACAGATCAAGTATGAATTCGAGAACTTCAATGAGCGCGGCGCCCACCCGCCGCCGAAGCCTGGCGTATTCCAATTGTTTGGGAGTCGTTCTTGGCACCACAGGCCCAGCTTACGGCTGTAAATCAGAAGCCGTTCGCCAACAGCCTCAGCCCGTGGTCCCGAATTTCTCGCAAGTATGTTTGGGGGGCCCGGGGAAACGCAGGCGGATAAAAGCACTTATAGGAGTGGGGATGCAATGGGGCGTTGGACCACCATTGTTTCATATCTCCCAGGGACAGTGGACAAGGTTTGGGACTACCTGTCTACGATTTTGGGGCACGCGACATGCCGCCGCGCCCACCGACCCCCTTCGAACTGGCAGGACGACGTCCCGATGCGCATACCTCTGGACCATCGCGCAGCTGGCGGTGGTCAATACAGCGACGACACGACGCGCGAGGGGCATCATCGCAACAACGTTGCGGGGCGCTCCGCCCTAGTGCGGCAGCAGCCGGAAGCGCGCGACAGAAGACAATGCCCAATGCGCTGACGAAGAGGAACGCGTTCGGGGCAGGGACCCACGACGGCTCCGAGGCTCATGGTCAGAGCGACGCCGACCAGTGGACTCCTGGCACGTCTTCGACTTGTGGAGGGGCCTCCACTCCAGACGGAAGACCACCGGTGAGGGCGCGCTTGCCCTCGCCAGGTGCCCCGCCTGCGCGGGCGCCGGTGGCGGCGACGGCAGCGCGCCGCACCTCCGCACTTGGGGGCTCGAGCAGCAATCTCGGCTTCCCTCCCAACGAGGGGCGCGGGAAGTGATGATTTGGTCAGCGGCGAACTCGGACTTCAACGAATTTCGCCGAGCGGCCTACGTTTCGTCTCGTCTCACCGACATGGCCCGCTAATGCGTGAACGAGTGGCCGCCAGCTGTCCTCGCGCAGGGAGGCGCCGTCGACGGCAACCCAGCGCCACCGATGACCAACCTGATGCACAGTTTGGCCGCACGTTGAGGCCAACTGGGCGAGGACAAGCGCGCCCTGGCAGTCTCCGCGCTTACGAACCTCAACCGACTGCCGCAGGAATGCACATATCACCTCCTCGCGCAAGTCTGCATCCTCCGCAACCGCGCTCAGCAAGCTGGTCAATTCAGGATCGACTACGAGGGTCTCAGCTTCCTCCTCTTGCACGCGGTGGTCGCGTGAAAAGTGCAGCCGGCCCTGATCTTGCCGCGCCGCGACATGGCCTGCCCGACCAACGCAGCACAATTCGCTCATTTGACGAATCAAGTGCTGCGCTTTGGGCACATAATGAAGGGGTCGCCTGCCAATCTATCTCGCTTCAGCGGCGCGCTCAGCCCAACCGCGAGCCTTCCTCGCGGGCGCGCCCATGCAATATCAGGCTCAGAGTTTCCATGGCCCCACAGGCGGATCGGGGCGGGACAGGCCGGGCACGCGGGCACTGGGGGCGGCGCCGAGCCCGCTTGCAGCAGCACCGCCAGCGCGGGAGGCATTTCCAGCAGCTGCCATCGACTCAGGCACCGACGCCAACACCATCAGCTCATTCGGCGTAGGAGAGATGACAATCCCGAGCTGCGCGACGTTCCCGTGGAGCGGCAAGGCGCGCGCCCGCATTGGGCTCGCGAGCGCGCCGGGGCACGGCGGCGACGCCTCGACGACGGCAAGGCCGCGCGCCGCGCCCGGGGGGTCATCGGAAGAATCGAAGGGCAAGGGCCGCGGCATGGGCTACCGAGCCTGCATGGCCGACTTGTCCGAAAATAGCTTCCGAGAGACGCTCGCGGGATTCGGGGGGGCAAGGGTGCGGGCGGGGGGATTCAGGGCCGGCGGCGTGGGTTCCGGCCGCCCAGGCGACCCTGCGGGCCCCGACGAGGTGCGACTCAAATGCCACGAGTGCGATTATGAGGAACACCCCGTGCGCGATTGCCCCCCGCGCCGCTGCCAGTGGCGCGCCCCCTTCCTCGACGCCCGATAACGCCCCAGCGCCACTGGCATCCATGCCGCTGCCAGCTGCGGGGCAGCAAGGGCCGCCGAGCCCGGCTGAGCAGCGGCCCTCGACGAGCGCGCATGCGGTTTGGATGATCTGGGACTCCGCCAGCCATGGGCAGGCTATGTCTGCAGGATCGGGCGCGAGTGAACCCGCGCAGGGCGCTGATCCCTGGAACGGCGGACAGCCTGCGCCGGCGTCGGCAGCGCCGCAGCCAGCCGTAGCCGCGGCGGCAGCTACTCCGCGAGGTTGGTCGTCGGACTGGCCGCGGCAACGCGGTGGCCGCAGTCTGTGGTCGCGCTGGGCGGGCGCGGCACCTCCATCGTCGTCGCCCAACCCCCGCGGCGCCGAGCTACGGCGACTATGACTAGAGAAGATCTCGCGGACCACTCGGCCACTGCAATCGGTGCTGGCACCCGTGCCGCCGCCAATGCCAGTCACTCCTTCTGGATTGGCCCTACTTTGCGAAGACAGGCCAGTGGGCGCGAGCCAACCAACGGGGGGAGTGGCCATATGGTTTGCCGGCCGCGAGACATGGATGTCTCGCGGCAATCGGTCTGAGCGCGGCGTGCATTCCGCTCCCAACGACGACGCCTCAACGAGCCCCACGGCGCGCAGCTGGCACTGGAGTTCCTGCGACAACAGGCAGACCAGCAGCGCCAGGTCGCACAGAGTTGGGCCGATGCGCCGACTGACGCTCCTCCAGTGCCGGCTGGGGCGCCAGCTGCGCCGCCCGCAGCTGCTATTTCCGATGGCGACGATAGGAAGTGCCCATTTGTCTCGAGGCCTTCGTCCACGGCGAGAGGGTTGCACGACTGCAGGGCCGACGCATCTTGCTCCTCGCACGCCGCCTGCAACGCGTGCAAGACACCGACGCTTGCTTTGATTGCAACCTGGCGAGCCGCGGACCAGCCGACGCCATCGCCGACTTCTGCTTCGCCGGCGCAGATCGCGCACGCGCGGGACCGACGCGCGCGGCGCCGGCGCCGGCCCGCGACGCGCCGGCAGGAGATGCGCCGCGAGAGACGCCGCCGCAGCAGGACGCAGCACCCTTTCCTCTGCCAGCCCCAGCACCTGGGACACCACGGCAAGATCTGCTGAGAATTCCAGGCAGTGCCCCCAGCGTCGCGTCCGCGGTGGATACGCCAGCGCCCTGCGACGCTCATCTGGGCTTGCGCATGCCCCTACGCAGGCCTACCTTGCATGGGCCTGCGCCCCCGTGGTGGCCGACTTCGCCTGGCATAGGCAAGGCTCCCATGGCGACTCACCGTGCTACCTGGCAATCGCGTCGGGCGATCGGTTAGGCGCCGTCGTCGACGCCGGCGCCTGGATTATCCGCTGGAGTGCGCGATTCGCCCGGAACTTGGCCTGGCGAGCCATGCAGGCGAAGCTCCAACCCTCGCAGGAGAAATTGTCCGCCCAACTATATGTGGCAGGAGTGGGCAACGGGTCGCAGGTGGCGAATTGGGAGATCCACTTCTTGTGGGCGTAGCATCGCGCGATGGTGTGACCACTCAGCGCAGCATGCGTGCTCCGTTCGTGGAAGGCGGAGGCGACGCTCTCCCTGCCCTGTGAGGTCTGCAATCCATGCAGTCCAGCAACGGGGTGGCGGAGACACGCACAAACCACCAGAGTCTCACCTTCCCTGGGCCGGGCGGCTAATGATGAGATCACCTAGAGCCCAGGCACTGTGCACTTCGACTAAGACTCCGCTCCGAGTGGACACCTTTTGCATCCCAGCCGACGACTTCAGCAAGCTCCAGCCACCCTCCGGGGGCCTGCCGTCCGAGCAGCTCGCGCTGCTGGCCGTAGGCAGCGACCGCCAGGATCACCGCGACGCCGGCGGACGAGAATTCGATAAGCTCCAAGTCCAATTTGTCAGTCCGATGCGAAAGCCCCTACGCGAAGAACCACCGACTCCGCCAGTTACGACGTGCGCGCCAGCTCCGACGTCACAATTCCCACTTTGGCCGGGAACTGGTGCCCACCGGCATAGCAGCACTGGCACCACCTGGCACATGAATTCGCGTTGCCCCATGCTCAGGTCTCGCGCTCAAAGGGCATCGACATCTGGGGGCGTGGTGCACCCCGACTTTCCGAACGAGGTCATCGTGCACAACGTCGCCCCGCGGATCCACGCTGTCGGGCAGGACCGCCGCGTCGCCCAGCTCATCGTGGAACGATGCAACGACGACGCCGAGATCGTGGTCGTTACCAACCTTCCTCCATCCTCCCGCGGTTCCGGGGGGTTCGGACACGTTGGCATGACGTTATTTAGCCAAGCTCCACCGTCGGGGATTCCGCGGTGCATGTTTCAAAGTCAAAGCGTCATACCCAGTGGACAGCACAGCACCAACAGGGTCTGAGTGTAACTGTTTTACCGAAGAACCCGCGCAGCCGCTAAACTAAAAGGAGTATGGGTCAGCACGCAAGGCTGGCCCAGCCGACCTGCCCCGGCCGGAGTGGGCA